GTGTACATTACATTTATTATATATATAAATATATATATATATATATATATATATATATATATAAAAGAGAAAAAAGCACATACACACAAGTCGGAGATACTTCGGCGAGCTACGTACACGTCGTGCCATTCGACGATATATTCTCATACTCTCAGAGAGAAAAAGGTGTTTCGCTGAAAAATTCAAGGTGAAAGTTCATTTCTAAAAGAAATATCTATCGTTTTGTCTCGGACTCGTGCCATCATTTAGGAAGCCACCAGATCTCGAGCTGGAGGGACTGTTCAAGCGACACTTCACCACCGTGGAGTTCTTTCAGGGGACCATCATGAACCCCATTGACCTACAACGGGTCAAGGTGAGTTCTTCACGGTCACGACGACGACGTCGATGATACTTGCGTGAAAAATTATATTATATTTACATTAAATTAATTATTTTTCTCTCTCTCTCTCTCTCTCCCTCCTTTCTTTTTCTCTATATCTTTATCTCTCTCTCTCTCTCTCTCTCTCTTGTTCTATTTTTTTCTTTTTCCCCTGATCATTTCCTAATTAAATTTCGAGTTCTATCTGTCGAACAATTTACGACGATTGCTACTATCTAAATTTCCTTACACGAAATTAAGGACAAGTATTCTCTACGAGATCCCATTGTTTCTTTTTGTATACTTGAAAAATCTGAACGAATGATTATAGTTTTTAAGGATAATTGTTGGCTGTGTGTCCAGTCCTAACTTTTCCAAGTATGTTGCTATAAGCGTTGACCGTGTCCGCGAAATGTTCTCCTTCCTATTCTCTTTCCTTCTTTTCTCTCTCTCTCTCTCTCTCTCTCTCTCTCTCTCTTTCTCTCTTTCTCTCTCTCTCTCTCTCTCTCTTTCTCTCTATCTATCTTATCGCGCCTGATAAGCTGTCATGTGTGCTTTCATGTGTCGTCGTGTGCGTGATAGACAACGAAAACTATCAAAACGATAAAATTTTTCTATCGTTTTGTATTCTAATAATTCGAATCAACGAAGTACGAGAACGAATGAAATCGCATTCATAAAAAGAAGGATGGACCTTCGTCGAATGTTCTTTTTTTATTTACAAAAAAAAAAAGAAAAACACCCTTGCGAAATTTCCCCCATATATGTATTCCTATATAACCTTTAAACATTTATTTAATATAACATATATGGATCTATATATGCATATTTATTCGTTACATCCTCTAATTGTAAGTTTTCCTTAAAACTTTCACGAAAGAAAGGATATAAACGTGATTCGTTAAAGAGAGCCAACCCTCGTATAAAGGTTATGTGTTTCTCACCCACCGGATAAACCCATACCTGCTATCATCCCGAGTGGGGTAAGTGTTGGGAGATTATTTGAGTAGATGCAAAATGGCCATCGTTCTCTTCTCTTTAATTATTAGAACGTTTGTAACGTTAGTTTATATTTAATATTATTTTTTATGTTTTCTATTAGCGAAAAATATTTTCGTAGAGGTTTAGGATTACCTCTCTCACACACACTCCCTCTCTTTCTCTCTCTCTCTCTCTTTATTTTATTAGCTAGATATATATATATATATATATATATATATATATGTATATATATAAATATATATACATATACACATACATAGATCATTTGTGCGTTGTAACGTTCTTTTGGCTGCGTTCTTATCTTATTGCGTAATTGGTGCTTCGTAGTTTTCGTCGAGCTTGAACTTCGAATATTGATAGTTCACATTAGTTTGGCATGATAAATAATTAATTCATTCATTCATTAGTTGATACGTGAAACTACACGTACAACCTCCGCCCCCCCCTTTAGCCCACTCCTCTCTTTCCAAAGATTTCGTTTTGGCAAATCTCATTCGATCGATCATATTTCTCCATCTCTCTCTCTCTCTCTTTCTCTCTTTCTCTCTCTCTCTCTTTCTCTGTCTATCTCTCTTTACTATACAGATACATTTACATATATCCGAGAAATCTATAGTTTCTCTCTCTCTCTCTCTCTCTCTCTCTCTCTCTTTCTTTCTACTTTATCTTTCTTTTATATTTTTCTTCTTTAGACGATCTTTTATGACTCCTCATATACATATACTATAACACGATATGCATAAACGTTTAAATTATTTAACATACTTCTTTTAAAAAGACAGTTTCGTTTTATTTTATACATACATATCTATATATTTATATTCAAACACTTGTAGAACAATCAGTTTTCGATTAATAAATAGTCGCAAGATCATTCGATTTGAATGATTTTGATATCGTTATTATTAAGATTGAAATATTCTCGTTGTCGTCATTTATTTATTTATTTCTTTTTTTTTTTTTTTTTTAATTAGTATTAACAGTAGTATCTAATATATCATCAAGTCCGAGTCTTTTTAGTTGACATTAATGCGATAAAACATCTCTCTCTCTCTCTCTCTCTCTCTCTCTCTGTCTCTCTCTCTCTCTCTCTCTCTCTCTTTATCTATCTATCTATCTCTACCACTATCTCTCTTGGTCTTTCTCGTTCGCGTGACTTTCTACTTAACCTGTTTGACTTGTCTCTTCAGACGAGTGTCGTTACTTTTTAATAATGAACCCGCAGTTTATAGCATAGCCTCGAGCGATGATATTAAAAAACGTAAATTTGTTTTTGGATCTTTTTCCATTTTATTTATCATTATTATTATTATTACAATTATTATTATATACGTATATATATATATATATATTTTTTTTTCTTTTATTTTTTAATTCCTCAATTTTTAGCTAATATGTGAATCTATCTAACGCTATTATAAACACGTTTCGTACAAGTATACATATATATATATACACACACGCACACACACACACATACATACATATATCTATTTATTATTTATTAATAAATAACAATAAATAATACTTGTAGCATTATCTTTTTTTTTGCATTTATCGATCGGTTCGTCGAACGAAGGGCAATCATCGCTTTCGGCTTTTCGCCCGTTCTAAACTATTTCTCTCCTTCCGTTCAACCACAGGCCCTCACCTTCCCCTCAACCTTCCGAATAATAAAATCTCGCGAATAGTGCAACATTTCGTTCCAATGATTTGCAGGTCCACGAAGCGGACGCGTGCTTGGTTTTGGCGAATAAATATTGCCAGGACCCAGACGCCGAGGACGCGGCCAACATCATGCGCGTCATCTCCATCAAGAACTATTCGGATGACATTCGTGTCATTATACAGCTAATGCAGTATCACAACAAGGTAACAAAGATATTTACTTCTGTAAAAATATTATTATAATTAATTAAATATATTTCTCTATTTGTTGAAAATAATATCAATATCATTGATATTAAAATTTGTTAATCCACGTAAAAAGTGATCATTAAGGATTCAAAGTTCAAAGTTTTATCATTCAAAATGTTATACGAATTTTAATTTAATTGATTGGATTTTTTCGATCAATTAAAAAAATCTCTTAATTGAAAATATTAACAATTGTCATTGCTTTTTAATAACAAAATTGTAATTTAATATATTGTAAGTTAATAGATTAAAAATTTTTTAATTTCGACACAATAGATAATAATTAATTAACATGATTTAACGACAAATGAATTATGTTTTAGGCCTATTTACTAAACATTCCATCATGGGATTGGAAGCAGGGTGACGATGTAATTTGCCTGGCCGAATTGAAGCTAGGATTTATCGCGCAATCCTGCCTCGCGCCAGGCTTCAGCACAATGATGGCCAATCTCTTCGCCATGCGATCCTTTAAGACGGTCAGTAAAAAAATGTCATCCCTTGGCAAAGAAAAAAAAAAGAACATGATATTTGCCTATTTCCTCTATTCTATGCATGTGTGCAAGTACGTTATTCGTAAGTTTTTCAGCGTTAGGTCGTACAATTTTTCTTTTTCTCTATTCTCTCTTTCTCTTTCTAACTCTCTCTCTCTCTCTGTCTCTTCTCTCTTTCTCTCTCTCTCTCTCTCTCTCTCTCTTTCTCTCTCTCTCTCTCTCTGTCTAAATGACGGCGCGAGATTTTAAATTCAGACAGCTCTCTCGTACGAGAGTTGTCGATTTTTTTCCCTCATATCGATTGGAGTTCGTTGACTTTAGACTTTTAGAGTTTATTGAATTAACATTTCTGTATTTCGATCGAATCGAGAGAGAAAAAACAAAAATATTCGAAAGGAGTCGATTAACTCGTAAATTGTATTATTGATCGATGGATATATTTTTTTATTTTCTTTTTTCTCAATCTCTCTCTCTCTCTCTCTTTGTCTCTCTCTCTCTCTCTCTATTTATCTATCTCTCTCTCTCTCATTCTAATTTCTTTTTCTCCTGGCTCGCAAAAAAAAAAAATTTATAACGAAGCATGGCGTCGCCAACGAAAGAGTACGTACATAAAATGTGTATGTGTGTGCGTGTGTGTGCGCGTACACGCCATAACACACGTCTCACTCGTGTCTCGCGTACACCGTGGAAAAAATGCGCACAATCCGTACATGCATAGGAGTGTGTGTGATTTAGAAATGGTCGGTTGATTGGTACCAGTCACCCAATATACAGGCTTGGCAGAATGACTACCTACGTGGAACTGGAATGGAGATGTACACCGAGACACTGAGCCCTACCTTCATTGGAATGCCTTTTGCGAGAGCCACTGAGTAAGTCGGTCCATGACCAATTCAACAATCCAAAAATTGATACGTGTATCTCTGATTCAAGAGACGAGACCCAATTAATTATTATTATTATTATTATTATTATTATTCCTTATATATCTTTTTTTATTTATTTATACTATATATATATATTAATCAATCGTAACTCATATAAAAAGACTTTATCTTCTCGTCTTTAACTCATCTCGAACAAACTCTTTAATCGATCGTGATCGTGATTGTTATTTCTGTCTTTCTCTTTCTCTCTCTCTCTCTCTTTTTCTCTCTCTCTCTCTCTCTCTCTCTCTCTCTCTCTTTCTCACTCTGTCTAATTGCTTTTTTTGTAATTAACAGTTC